TAGAGGAGAGGAGCAGGTATACTCGTTTCTTTTTTTTTTTTCTTTCGTTCGTGGAAAAATTAAAAATTTTCCGCCATATTTATTATTATTATTATTATTATTATTATTATTATTATTATTAGTTTTTCACGGTGTTCATTCAAAAAAAAAAAAAAGTTTTCATTCGAATAAAAAAAATTTTTTTTTTGCCAGGAAAAGACTTTTTTTAACGAAAAATTTACGTTTTGTATTATCATTATTATTATTATTATTATTATTATTATTATTATTATTATTATTATTATCATCATCATCATCATCATTATTATTATTATCGCCCTTAATTATTTATTTATTTACTCTTAAAAATTTTTTTTTTTTTATAATATACGACTTTAAATATGGAATTAACTTTTGACTTACTGACTTGAAGTGAATCCGACAGTAAACAATACCTTAATTTTTTTTTTTTTACCCTGCTTATGGTCATAAAAAAAAAAAAAACTCTATGTCGTTATTGTTTGCATCGGATTCATCATCATCATCATCATCATCATCATCATCATCATCATCATCATCATTATCATCATTATCATTATCGTCGTCGTCGTAGTATAATTATTATTATTATTTTTTTGTTAGAAAAGTTTAAATTTGTCAAATATTTTTTCTTTTGTTGTTGCCTGTATTTTAAAAATGATAAAAAAAAAAAAAATGTTTGATCGAGAGCAGAAGACAATAAATAAGACAATAATTGTTTGTTTGCATGCGTGCGTGCGTGTTTGTCTATCTTTGTTTTATCATAATAATAATAATAATAAATATTACGTACGACAATATTCTATAGAAATTAAAATTTTTTTTTTTTTTTTTTTTGAAATATTAAATAAGTCAATTTATCTAAGGTTGTTTGTTGTTTGTTGTTGTTGTTGTTGTTCATTATTATTATTATTATTATTATTATTATTATTATTTTAAATTTTCTTTTCATTGGTTGGGACACGATTTTCCAGTTTTCCGTACAGATTTTGAAACTTTGTATTGCTGTCGTTTCTTTTTTTTTTTTTTTATAGCCTTTAACCTTCGCGTTTATCACAGCACTAATTATTATCATTATTATTATTACTATTATTATCATTATCATTATTATTATTATTAATTATTATTATTAATATTAACGTAGCAGATTAATAATTGATTCGACTTTTTTTTTTAATTGAAATTATTTAAAAAAAAAAAAAATTCAAATTATTTATTTATTTACGTTTGGAATTTACGATTAACAAAAAAAAAAAAAAATAATAATAATAATAATAATAATAATTGTTGGTTTTCCTTCTGCTGTTTTCGCTGTTGCTGTTGTTTTTTTTCATGTCGTTTAAAAACAAAAAGAAATTTTATTATAATCATAAGTAATTGAATATTTGTAAAAAAAGGAAAAAAAATGGTAAAAATTTCAGAATCACGTTTCCGGATTAGAAATAATTTTTCATTTCGCAAAGGATTTGAAATTTTCCCGCTTTTTTTTATTTATTATTATTATTATTATTATTATTTATTAGTAGTTTAAATTTTTTTTTATTTGGCGACAAAATACAGACGACGACAAACGAGTCGAAATGCTTCGTAATAAAAAATTATTTCCTTTAAATTAATTAATAATTATCGAAATTATTATTATTATTATTAAAAAGAAAAGCGTAAAACATCAAATACAAGATAAAACAATAATCAAAATAAGATAATGTTTTTATCAGTTGTTATCAAAAAGGTTTTTTATTATTATTATTATCGTTCGGCACCGAAAAAAAAAAAAAAAAAAAAAAAAAAACGATTTGAAAAGAAAAACAAATAAATTATGTGTGGCAGAGTTGACAAATTACATTGAACAGTTGAGGGTTTAAAAAACAGCACAGCATAAGGGAGAATAAGAGAGAGAGAGAGAGTAAATAAATGGGAATGAGAGTAAGAGAGAGAGAGAGAGAGAGAGAGAGAGAGAAGAGGAAATGGAAAACGAATAATTAATAATTTTTTTAAAAAAAATCGTTACTTATATATATTATTAGTTCTAGAACATTCGCGCGTATATTTTATTTTTAAAAAAGTAAATTTATTTATTTATTTATTTATAAATAATTTTTAAAGCGTGAGAAAACGAGAAAGAGATAGATAGATAGAGAGTGAGAGAGAGAGAGAGAGACGTCGAAGAATTTAAAAAAAAAAAAAATCGGGCGTTTATATATATAAATATATATTATTGTTCGAAATGATTTATATTAACCAGTCGTATTTATTACTAAACAAAGTATATATATATATACATTATTATTATTATCATTATTATTATTATTGTTTGGTTTTCCGTTAGATTAATACGGGTTTATGTCACCATTTTGATTTTTATTTTATTTTTTTTTTTTCCAGCTCGAATAGTCGCTCGCTCGTACGATAATTTGTAGAAAGAAAATTCTGGAAAATTCTTGTGGAAAATTTTCATCGTGGGATTTTCATTTTGATGACGTTTAACGGAAAAGGTCAAAGGTGAAGAAAATACGGTAAGTTTTTTTTATTTTAATTGAGGATTTGAATTTTTTTTTTTTTTATTCCACGTGAATTGGTGCGATTGATTGATCGAATTTAAAAAGTGGTGAATGATGATCGGGGAATTAGAAAATTGTTTAAAAAAAAATGTCGTGGTATTTGTAAAAAAAAAAAAATTTTTTTCTTCAACTGATTCCACGACGAACGCGTAAGGATTCCATTGAATTTATTTTTTAATCGAAAATGGAGACCGGTGAAAAAATGTAGGATTTAAAAAGTCTAAATATTTTTAAGATTTTTGGATTTGTTATGGGGGGAATTGTTTGTCGTGCGTGTGCGTGTACGTGTGCGTGTGCGTGTGTGTGTGTGTGTGCACGTGAGTGCGTGTGCGTGTACGTGCGTGTCGAAAAAATTTATTTATTAAAAATATTTTTAAATTCGGTGGGATTATTGCGATAGTACGAGACGTTTATTTCATTTTTTTATTTTTTTTTTCGGGGGGGGGGGAAAGGGGTTATATTTATTTGTATTTAAGTTTGTCGGTTATGTCATTTTCATATTTGAAATATTAAAAGATGTGCGGTCGGTAAAGAAAAAAAAATAGAAAAAAAAAGATATTTAGGTCTGGTGGTGGTGGTGGTAATTACCATTTGAATAGGAAGAATACCAATGTTTACAGAGAGAACGAACATGGGCAAGTGTCATTTTCCACACAAATACAATAAGGGGTACATAACTTGACGACTAATCAACCTTTTCCCGGTTGTTTTGACTTTCCCTTTTTTTTTGTCATTTTTTTTTTTTTTTTTTTTTGTTTTTAATGACGTTTCGACGATCATTTTTTTTTTTTATTTTATGGATGATATTTTTTTTTTTTTTTTCATTCGAGGGATTTTATATCCGGTATTATTTATGTTCGATAGTTCATCCCCTCGATGAAAAGAATATAATAAAAAAAAATTGTTGTTTTTTTTTGTTTTGTTTTCTGTGTGTGTGTGCGTGTGCGTGTGCGTATTTCCAAGATGGTGATGTGTTTGTTCCCTTGGTCGCCTTTAAAAAAATTTTTTTTTCCCAATTTTAAATCGAATCGAAATAGGAATCAATCAATTAACGATGATGTGATTTTTATTATTATTATTGTCGTCTCGAAAATTTTTGTTTTTTCCAATTCGAAATATAAAATGCTTCAAAATTAAAAAAACTCAAATAGTAATATTTATTTAAAAATAAAATAAAATAAAAATAAAAATTAAATTTATTTATTTATTTATTTATTTTTGTTTGTTTGTTTATGGGTGTTCACCGCCATAGAGTAAAATAAAAGAATTTAAATTTTAATTCGATCACGTGCTGACATCTACATTTCGTTTTAGTAATCATTAGTTTACATTTACGCCGGTAGAGGTTATTAATGTGAGACATTGGTACGATTTAACGATTTGCGGCCATTGTGTGGAATCATCAGTGTAGTAAATAAAAATTTATCGAGAGTTACATTCAAATACAAATGTTTAAACATGACAAATAATTTTTTATTTATTTTATGCGTTTCTTTTTTCGGTAAGAATCATCATCATTATTATTATTATTATTATTACTTTTTTTTTTTAAATTGCGTTTTTGTTAAAGAAAATTATGATAATTTTTTTGCATTGCTTTAAAACCGTTGAAATAATGAGTCACAAAAAAAAATTTTTTTCTTTTTTTTTATTATTATTTGATTTTATTATAAGGATTTATTAATTTGAATTCATTTACTGATTGTTCAATAATAAAAGTTATTTCTTTTGTGTTTTCAATCGTTAAAAATTACTTTATATTATTATTATTATTATTATTTCAAAAAAAAAAAAAAAAATTTGACCACAAAAATTTTCCTACAAGATTCAAAACATGACATTTGACTTTTTGTTTAAAAAAAAAAAAAAACATTAAGATTAAAATAATTGCCTTAAATAATAATATCGACATTTACATTATAAATTTGATTTTAATTGTAAATTATGTTAAGGTTTAATAACTTAATAATTTGTTCCAGTTAAAAAAAAAAAAAAATTGTACTTTGGTTTCAAAATGAAAATGTCTGACTCAGTAAAAAATGAATTAAATAATTAGCAATTATTTTGCTTACGAAATTTTTTTATTTTGTTTTAATTTAAAATTTTTTTTTTTATCGTTTCAGCATATTCCATTGGAGACCCTTTATGTGGTGTGAAAGAATCGTGCAATGATTTAGAGTAAGCCTTTTTTCTGCCTGTTAATGTCCCTTATCTATGCCAAGTTAAATGCCTTCCCCCCACCCCCCTACTAAAAATTGTTTCAAAGTTTTTTTTTTATAATGACGAGTAATAATAATTAATTTTTTATATTACAGAACTGTAAAATCTTGTCGAAATGTTAAATACTGCATATCGGAAGTGTGGACGAAAAAGGTTTACACTTCATCACCAAAAGACAATGTTTGTAGTATTTGTCTCGAAATGGTCAAAGAAGCAAGAGATCAATTACAAAGCAATGAAACAATGGTAAGTACCAAAAAAAAAAAACAAATCGATTTTAAATATTAAAACAATTTAATATAATTTTAACATTTTGTTTTCCACAGACGGAATTAAAACAAGTTTTGGAAGGAAGTTGCAAATTGATGTTGTTAAAACCTGCCGTTGAAGTCTGTCAAAAATTAGCAGATGAATTTGTTCCAGAACTTGTGGAAATGTTGTTGTCGCAAATGGATCCTGAAAGTGTTTGCACAGTTGCCAAGTTATGTAACGATGCCAATTTGAGAGAAGAACAAACTGTGAGTTTCTTTTTTTTTTTTTTTTTGATTAAATTCGAATGTTGTGTGTTTGTTCTCGCACATATACTAATTCGACACATCATTTATTTGTTTAAAAAAATTATCATTATTATTTATCAGTCGATACCTGAAAAAGAAGGTTTGGAAATAGGTTTACAAGGAATGTACCAACTTTATCGATACTTTCATGTTTTCAATGACGATGGTTTGTAATGAAATATGATGTTATTGATAATTAATAGTCAGTAAGTTTAGTAGTGGTACAGTCATTTTGTTATGACTTTTGAATGAGTAATACTTATCAAGTTAACAAGTATTTTAATTTTTTGTTCGTTTTCAACTGAGTGTATAGCAAATATTTGTAATTAAATGTTTGCAATTAAAAAAAAAAGCAAAGAAAAGCCACAGAGAGAGAGAGAGAGAGAGAGAGAGAGAGAGAGACAAACATCGAACGGTTTTTCTATTTATCATATTTTGAACGCTTGACTGAACATTTTTTTTTCATTCATCCATATTTTTTTTAAATTTATCATAATTATTTTGTTGTAATGTCATTGATGTATTTATTTTTTTATACATATCGGTATCGGTAGAGAGCGACCTTAAAAGGTCAAAGGGTATCAGAATTTTGTAAATGATAAAGAAGAGAAAAAAAAAAAATTAATATTAATAATAATTTTTTTTAGCATTGGTTGATTTATCATTGTGAAATTTTGAAATATTTTTTTGTGACGTCACACACGGTTTAGAAAAACAAATTCTATAATTAATTAATATTTATTCGAATTCGATGTTTTTATAGAATTCCAAAGAATGCACGACTTGTCAGGAATTCATAACTTCAGCTGCACACATTGCCACGAGCAGCCCACAATCGGAGTTAATGAAACAATTCACGAGCATTTGCAGGGCGATGGGAAGTTACAGCGACGCGTGTTTATATTCCCTTTTTCAAAATCCATCGGTCGTCATTCACGAAGCGACAAATTTTCTTTTTCATAAACCCTGCGAAGCGACCAAACTTTGTCCGGAAGGTTCGACGATGAAAGTGAGCGAATCCGTCGGTCAAATATCTTCCGAGAAATGGGAAAATTCAAAAGAGAAAATGTGTTCCCTTTGTCCCGCCATAATGGAAAACGTGCACGGGATGGTGAAGGGTCGGAAAAACGAAGACAAATTAATAGATTGGTCCATCGACGTGTGCACGTCGTTGTCGTACAGTAAAAAATCCTGTTCGAAATTCGTTAAAGAATATCACAAGATGATTTATTCGTATTTCAAAACGAACGCGACCTACGATTACATTTGCACCAAAGGTTTGGGTTTGTGCGATCGCGACTCTACCTCGGGACCTATATGGCCTCTTTTCCCCGCCGGCGAATCGAGCAGCGAAATGACGAAAAAATTGTCGCGAGTCTCTTTCGATGGCGATTCGACGAAAGTAAAAGTTTTGAAACCTGAAAAACCTCACAATTTTAAAATATCATTCGGAGATCCTTTACCGTCGCCATTCAAACCTCTTCCTATTAATCGAATCATGAGCGCGAACGGTGGCGACTGTCAAGCTTGCACGGACATGTTCAGTACAATATCACAATACATGACGATACATCCCGAATACGTCGATTCCACGTTGAATTCCACGTGCGACGGTTTGAAAGATTCGAAAAGTTGCATAGATTTCATCAAACAATACGGATACCTATTCAAAAATTCCGGACACATCGTACCTGAAAAAGTAATTCGAAGTGAAAAATCCATTTTCAATCCTTAATAATATACCATCCGATACCATAATGTGATCTCTTTATCGTATTTTCAGGTTTGTCCGTTCTTGGTGCCGCTCTGCGGAGGAAATACTTTCCCAGGGATTTTCCTAACTGAAATAAATTCGGAAGAAAATTGTAAATTTTGCATCGATATATTCGATTCTTTGAAGGGTGACGGAAGGACGAAAGCAGCTGAAGTAATTGATTTGATCTGCCACAAAATGGTTTCAAGAAGCATTCAAAACGGTTTCAATTAAAAAAAAAGTTTTTTTTATTTTTCAGTCTCAAATTAACACGGGTCTGAAAGAAAATTGCAAGTTGGCACCGTTGGAAAATCAAGACGTTTGTAATCAAATCGCGGAAAATTTTTTGAAAAACATCATAACCTCCGTGACGAACGACGTTGACAGCGAAGACACGTGCGGTTACTTGCAATTGTGCAAACCGAAGCAGAAGAAAATGGATTTAACGGATAAGAAATATTGCGGTACCTGCTTGTTGGCAGTTCAAACGGTTTACGACGAATTGAAAGACAAATCGAGCAAGGTATTTTTTATTATTATTATCATCATAAGGTTTCTCTATACCTTTTCTACGAAAATAAAAGATAACCGATAAGAATGTTAATTTGTTTTTATTTTTGTGTTCGACAGGAAGAAATAAAAACTTTGCTTGAAAACGTTTGCGAAGAATTACCGTCGATAGAAGTGGGACCCTGCAAATTAATCGTGTCGGAATTTTCCGACGAAATGATCGATTTCATAACGGAAAATTTGAGTCCCTCTCAAGTTTGCAGAAAACTTCATTTGTGCAGTTCGAACAGAACTCTGAGCAATTTGGTATCGAAATATGTAAAAGAAGGGAAAAGGGAAAAGGTTGTCGTTGCTCCGAGGGAAAAAGTTCCCTGCAATTTTTGTTTGACCGCCATGAAAATGATAATCAATCAATTGGAAAGTAATAAAACAGAGGTAGGAAAGGAAAAGAGAGAAAGGAAAGGAAAGGAATGTTATTGTTTTTGCCAATTGTGTGATTATCTCCTGTCTCTCTCTCTCTTTCTCCCGCAGGAAGAAATCGTCGATTCTTTGCATCGCATTTGCGATTACATGCCGGAAGAAGTTCGGGACACGTGTAAAACTCTTATAGATCAATATACGGACGACATTGTCGACATGATAATTGCGGATTTCAACGCGACCGAAATTTGCATGTATTTGAAATTATGCGGATCTCATTCGGAATTATTTAGTCCCCCACAAATTTCAACCTCGGGATTCAACATCGAAACGAACGAAGTTTGGAGAAAATACAATCCGAGCGGTGCCTGTCATTTTTGTCAACTGATGGAAAGATCGATGAGCGTTAAGGGTTACGAAAATAAGGGAGCTGTGAGTAGTATCCTTTTTTTTTTTTGTTTTATCGGTGAGGAGTCCATCAGGAGGTTTTGTATGCGATTTATAATTGATTGATTATTACAGGAAGACATGCTTGGTTTGCTCGCGGATGTTTGTTTGACCAATTCGGAAAACCTGTACGGTCACTGCGCGAAAAAATTCTCGCAAGAAATTCTACCGGTGGGAAAAAGTGCCTTATTAGCAATGTCGAACGTTTGCGAAGAAATGAAAATATGTCGCAGGGGAAAAGGAACGTTGGAAAATGTGGGAGTCGCGAGTAAACTCCTCGGGAGAATTCGTTCTGCCGTCGAAGAATGCGCCATGTGCGAAAGCGTCGCGGGAATCGTGTCATCCACCCACGTCAAATCCCAGGGTTTAAAATATTATTACGCGGACAACGCGGATGATTTGTGCACGACCGTTCCCTCCGACAAAAAGAACATGGTAGGATTTTTTAGAATTCAAAGGAAGGAAGAAAGAAAGAAAGGATGGAATTTATTAAAAATAATTTTTTTTTTTTTTTTCCCCCGGGAACCGCCAGTGTAAATCCATGTTGACGTCATACGCACCGAGCATAGTCACGCTCCTCACGGAAATGAAAATCAAACCCGACGACGTTTGTTTCCATTTGAAACTTTGCGACAAAAGTTCTCAAACGAAAATCAATTTGCCCGTCACGAGCATCGAACAAAGCGGTTTGAAAAACATAAAAGATCCAAACGAGTGCAGTCAAGGACCCTCATTCTGGTGTAAAAACGTTGAAAATGCAAAAAAATGCGGGGTGAGTTTGGTAGGGGTGGGGGTTGGGTAGGGTTGGGGTTTGTTTTTGTTTTCTCCTGACACGTTTTTTTTAATTCCATTTATTTTCTCTTACAGACTTATTTGCATTGTAAGGAAATGGTTTGGAAAAAAGAATAATCATAAACATACCAAAAATTATAAATAAATTTTTTTTTTAAAAAGAAAATGTCGCTGTGATATACTGTAGAAAAATTCAAAAAGAGAAAGAGACAGAAACATAGAGAGAGAGAGAAAGAGAGAGAAAGAGGTTTTTCCTTTATTTTCTTTTTTTTTATTGTTAGTTATTATTATTATTATTATTTGTTTTTTTCGTAAAAGTAAAAAGAATTTTTTGTAACAGTGAGAAATCGACATATTACACAGGCATACATACATATTTATATATTTTTAGTAGTTTACAGTCGAAATTTTAATAAACGTCAATAATATTAATTATTATTATTATTATTATTATTATTATCTATAAGTTTTTTTTTTTTTTTTTTTGTTTGTCTACTTCCACGTCGTTCGACGATGACGAATGGAAGATGAGGAAGAGAAAGAGAAATCAAGTGAACGTCAAAGCGATTTCTTCTTTCATTTTCGGCTTGTTCGGATTGTTCATGAGAAGCCACGTGGCGAGCCAAATAATCGGATCTAACGGTTTATTCTTACAGACTTGAATCAAACCTTCTAGAAGAATCGGATTTACGTATTCGTTCATGTAATTAGTGACGTCATCTTCATCTTCCAAATTGACGTCGAGAATGACTGTTGGAATCGGAAAAGAAGAAGAAGAAAATTTATTATTATTATTATTATTATTATTATTATTATTATTATTAATATCATTGTTATTTTACTCATAGGAGGAGTTGGAGGGGTAAGAGGAGGAGGAGGGGAGACGGGAGGGAATGATGATAATTACGTGATGGGAAAAAAAATTTAATTTCTTCTTTTGCTTTTTGACAATTGTCACTCGCGTGACAAACGTTTTTATAACTTTTGTCCGGAGTCCCGTAAATGGCTCTCAACGATTCCGGCCATATTTTTTTAGCTTCCTCGACCTGAGTCGGACCGCACATCAATTTCCACGTTTCGACTGCGTCTTTCTTACGTAATACGTAGACTCGAACGGGTCCCTCGCACATGGTCGATACGAGGATGGGAAAGTAGGGTTGACCGTAGTGTTCGTAATAGAAATCGCTCACTTGTTCCGGACTCAATTGAAGCAATCTAGACTTGAAAAAATTTTTTATTATTTAGAGAGTTTATGACGGGTAGGAGGAGGAGAGGAGGAGGGGGAGGAGGAGAAAATGAGCATACCGGAAATGATAAAAAAAAAAAAACTTACTTGAACGACGTCGAATCCGGCATCTTTGATTTTCTTTTCGATTTCTTTCACGTATTTCATACCGTCGGGTTTGATAATGGCGAGAGTTAATTGCGGCAAACATTTGAATTTTGTTTCTATATCGAAATCCCCGTATAAAACTTCTTGGTCGAGGGTAGGACACGAGAGAGTGTTTGTGACGTAAGTGTCAGGGGTGGGGGGTTGGGGAGTCAAATAAGAATCTTCGCCGCGTTCGTATTCTTTTCTGATCGTGTCACCGCTAGAACTGTTTATGTCCATCCTTTTGTTTTGTTAATTAATTATTTATTTATTATTATTATTATTCTAATAATTATTTTTTTAAGGTACGTATGTTTCCGTTCGTTAAGGTACGCATAAAAAAAAAAACGCGTTCGTTCGTTCGTGCTTGTGTGTGTGTGTGTGTACGGCCTCCTATCCCCTCCGTGTTTGGATATTTCAAAATGGCGGATTGTTTACATATTTCGACCGGCTTTTTAAAAGCAGACTAAAAATATTTGGATCGATCGATCGATCGGTCGATGAATCGTCGATATATCGATAAATTTTTTTTATTTTTAAATCGTGTGACATTGTTACTAATTTTTTTTTTTTTATTTTTATGGCGCAATCGTTATTTTTTTACAGATGACGTCATAAATTTACCCGATAAAAAAAAAAATGGAGTGAATTGAAATTGGGTAAGGAGGTCAGTCAAATCGGTTTTGAAAAAAAAATAAAATAAAATAAAAATTTAAAAATAAAATCGAATTCCCAGCTGCCAAGGTTATTATTGTTGAAATCGTCCAAAAAATAAAATTGTTATTATTATTATTATTATCGAATTTACGAGTTGTTCCCCTCCCCCCCCACGCATATTATTATTATTATTATTTTATTATATTTTGGATATGTATTTACAGTAGCAGAGGAAGCAGCAGAAGTTTTTGTTACTGACGTCACAACGCCATGACAAAACGTTGACGTTTATTATCGTTATCATTATTATTATTAATATCATTATTATTATTATTACTATTATTATTATTATTAATTTATGCCACTTTATTTTGGCATGAAAATAAGAGAAATTTTATTAAATTTTGTGGATAAATTGGAAATGTGATCGGGTATCATCGGCACTTTTCGGTTTTTGTTTTTTTTTTTTTTCCGTACATCACGCAAAAAATGTTTTTATATTTGATGATGACGTCACATGAATTTATAAACGACGGTTAAAGTGAAAAAAAACCGCGACGAGAGGACTCGACACAAAATGGCGTCCGACCGATTCACGTAAATAAATAAATATGTCATTCGTAATTAATAATTATTTATTTTAGCTAGTTTTTGGAAACGTTTGTTTGTATAAATTAACGATGATTTGTTATAATTTACTTAATAATTTGATAATTTCGAATTTTAAAAAGGCGGGGAATAAGGGGAAAAACCGTTAATGGAATGGCGGGAATTTTAGAGTTTTTGAAAAAAAAAAATTCAAACGAACGCGTTCGCGAATGAAATCGTCTATCATTCCGATGAGTAACGAATTTTTTTTTACAGTTTAATTACGAATCACAGAAAATTTTTTTTTCTTTAATCACGGAAAAAGAAAATAGATTCGTTGCCTTGTTTTTCTCTACTATGAATTTCCCGACGGAAATAAATTTTCCTGGAAAAACCTAAAGAAAAAAAAAAGGAAAAGTTTCCAGAAGAAAATTTTCCATGTTTTCCAATACCTGTTGTTAATAACAACATGGAGATTTTAAAGGTGAGACGTTAATATCGTTTGTGTGATCGTTTTTTTTTTTCCTTTTCTTTCTACATTCCAAACTGAAATTTATTATTATTATTATTATTATTATTATTATTATTATCACAATAATATATATATAATCTCACTTTTAACAGATACGAACAATAAAAAAAAAAAAAAATGGCCGTCCATCCATTCTCCAAACAATGAAAAGTTTTTTTTATTTTCTATTTTTTTTGAAAAAATTTACATAAGAATTAAAAGTATTAAATTATGGATGTTTACCTGGAGAAAAAAATTATGAAGCCTGGAATGAAAGAAATATTTTATAAGAAAAAAAAAGTAAGTTAAAAAGTATTATTATTATTATTATTATAAAAATCGATTGAATCGTTTTTAAAAAAAAAAAAAAAACGTTAAAAAAACGAAATGAAAAATGTCGTTACTTTCTCTCACTTTTTTTTTTTTTAAAAAAATTTTTCACGTTAAACGAGTCGCATTAGTAAAATATTAATAATAATAATAATAAATGATGTCGCGATTATAGTGACGTAATCAAATATTTGAAAATTATTAATTAATGAAATTTTTGGAAATTTTTTTTGTTGTTGTTGTTGTCGTCGTTAACCCCAAAGCGAAATTTAAATTTAAAAAAAAAAAGTGAAAAACTTTCTATTCCCACGTTTTTACATTTTTTTTTGGTGGATAAAAGTGATACGTGTGAAAATTTTATTGCTTACTTCATCTCTCTCTCTCTCTTTCTCTCTCTTTCTTTCTTTCTCTCTCTTTCTCTCATTTTTTCTCTCTCTCTTTCTTTTTCTCTCTCTCTCTCTTTCTCTTTCTCCCTTTCTCTCTTTTTCTCTCTCTTTCTCTTTCTCTTTTCCTCTTTCTCTCTCTTCGACTCGTGCAAAAAAATAATTATTACAAAAGGAAAGTGAATAATGAACCTTTTCGATGAGAGAGAGAAATCGAAGAAAGGGAAAAAAAATGGCGGAACAAGAAACACGTCGACGTGTGCGACACAAAAAATGTCGAATTTACTTAAAAAGGAAACGAGGAAAGTGCCATCATCATCATCATCATCATCATCATCATCATTATCATTCAACTTTACAAAACAAGGCACGACAAGAAAAAAAAAAAAAGAAAGTCGAAGTCGGTGTTTCGAAAAAGGAGGAAACGGAAATGGATTTTGTTTTGCATGAAACATATCCGAAATTAATAACCGGGAAATTTAAAATTTGAAAATTTTTCTGACGAAGATTTTCCTACTCGACGTTAATCATTCGATAATAAATAAACGAACCGGAAAATAATTTATTTTTATTATTTAAAAATGAAATAATAATAATAATAAAAATGAGATGAATATGAAGAAAAAAAAAAAAAAAGAAGAGGCGTCGGATTAGAAATCGTTAAGAGAAAAAATGGCGTAGGACGCCATTTTGATTTGTTAAAAAAAAAACGAAAAAAACGAAAAAATAGCTTGAGAGGTGTGCGTGCATGGAAACGAGGAAGAAGAGAGTGAGAGAGAGAGAGAAGAAAACAACGTGAGCGAGAGTGAGTGAGAAATAGCGGGAGAGCGAAAGAGTGAGAGAGAGAGAAAAATACGAAGAGTAAAGGTGTTGTTGTTTCTTCGTTCGTTTTCGCCGTCGCTCACTGCATCTGAACTTCTGAATCTCATTGTTGTTCTCGTCATTTCCACGAGTGAATCGTTTAAGTGCGTTCAGGTTATGGCGGTTGGCAGTTTTAGTTTTCGTTAAAACGTAAATAAAATTATTTTTTTTTAAAGCCGTTTATTTTAATAAATAATAATTTATTTTAATAATAATAATAATAATAATAATTTTTTCGTAGTGCGGGAGTTTTTGTTCGTTTTTAATTTTAAATTTTCGCGCGAAAATTTTTATTTATTTCCCAAAAATTTGTTTTTGGTTTTTAATTAATTAATTAATTAATTTAAAAAGTGAAATCGGTAAGTTTATCATTATTATCATCATCATCATCGTGTGAGTGAAAAATTTTTTTTTATTTATTCATTTATTATTATTATTATTATCATCGGGTGCCATAAGAAAAACAAAAAAGTGGGGTAAAAAATTTTTAACGGAAATTTATTTATTTGAAATTTTTTAAAAAAACGTTCCGGAACGAAACGAACGCGAACGGGTGGGAGGGGAATTAAATTTTAACAAAAATGGCGCCTTTTACGTTTTCTCAACCGTTAAAAGCAAAAGAATAAATGCGATCGTTTTAATTAAAATAATTTTCCGAGAACGGGGGAGGGGGAGGCGGGAGCGGGAGCGGGGGAATATTGGAGATGGAAGAAATTTCTAGAATAAATTTTCTTTTGGGTATTTTGTATCGTTATTAAAACTCTCAATACGTTTTTAATTTTTTTTTAACGGTTTAAATAACAATTAAAATATTTTTTTTTTTTTTAAATTTACTGGAGTTTAGTAGTAAGTAGTAGTAATAATAATAATAATAGTAGTTGTTTCGTGTAACGAACATGTCGACCTTGAAATTCGTTTTTTAAATCTTCGCTTCGTTTCATAGTTATGTCCTAATATATATATATACATATACTAATATACTGAAAACGGAAGGGGGGGGGGAAATATGAAAAACTTTTTGTCGTCTGCTGTTAGGAAAATAACAAATAATAAATCGCACACGCACGTACGCACACACGTGTCGAATTAAATTTTATTTTTTACGAATTTGTTTCGATTTACTGTTGCTGTATAAAATTTCGCATGGTTTGCATTTTTTTTTTTTCTTAATTTTTTTTACGAATCGATAATTTTTTGCGTAATGATGACGTATAATCGTTTAATAAAACAATGGAATCAATGGAATCGAAACAATGGAAACGCCCGAATTAATATTACGATTCGAAAGAAAAAATTTTTTTTTAAATTTTAAATATTGCGTTTTGAAAAAAATCGTTAGATATATATATATAAATGTGACGTCATAATACAACATGTCGAATATTTTTCGTCTGTCGCAATAAAAATGGAAAAAAATTTTTTATTTTTTCGCACCTCGTCGACGATAATTTTTCGTTTGTAGATTTGTTTGTAGCTTTGTTTGTTGTTTGTTTGTTATCGGGTAACGCGGATGTTTTTTAATGCTATCGACACGTTTTTTTTTTTTTAATTTTTTACCATTGTGAATCATTTTTCCTTTGTTTGTAGAAATGTAAAAAAAAAAAAAAAATTTATATTTTCCCGCCGGAATTTTGTCGCAAATGTCAAAGTTCAATGTTAGGAATTCATAGTCGGATATAAATACGAACGCGATAATACGTTTTTATTATTATTAATTCTAAGAAGAAACGTTTGAATGATTGATTGATTGATTGAGTGAATGAATGAATGAATGAATGACAGAATAGGTAAAAAAAAAATGAGTCACGGAAAAAAAAATTTGGAAAACGAAACCCAAAAAAAAAAAAAAAATGATGAGTTCGTTTGGATCAATGTCGGATTTCATTTTTAAGAAAGAAAGAAAAACAAAA